GAGAGAGAGAGAGAGAGAGAGAGAGAGAGAGAGAGAGAGAGATTAATCTGCAGGCAGGAAGGATAGTTAATCAGGTCTCCCTGCCAGCATGATTACTTGGGCCCGTGAGCTGCCTACCGATGGAAGCTGTAAGGGACCCAGGCTCAGAGTTCGGTGGAGGAGGCAGGGAGGAGGCAGGGAGGGTGGAGATGGTGAGAGGAGGAAGAGACAAGGGGAGACGGGAACAATGGCAGCCCTTCCTAATCTCTCCCTGGGTACAGATCCAAATTTCACAGCTATGTGCAGCATGTTCCCCAAAGACAGAACAGGGTGGAGAGACAAGACCGTCTCTGAGGAAAGAAGGAAGAACAGTGGGAAATTTCTAAAAGATATTACAGAGTAACACCGTCAAAGCCCACACAAACCGAGACAGCGAGATGGCATGACACGGTCCGAGCCTGGGAAAATGATCACGGTGAAGAAAAGAGGGAAAGGGTTAGTTCTAGGGATGAGCAGGTCTGATCAGTGAGTCTGCCCTGCCGAGGGCTGCCAGCTGTGGGAGAGTGCCTGGCAGCAGCTTGGCATCTCAGAGGCGTGGAGAGGAAGAGGGCTCCTAGGAGGCAGGTGTGATACAGCCCATCTCTGGGGTAGAGGGTGCCGGAGATCCTGGGAGCAGGGTCCCACCATACCCAGTTTGCCTCAACTCGCACGAACCCGGCAGCCTTAGGCTGCTTTTCCCATCTGCAAGGAGCCTCATCTCCAAGGCAGGCGTCTTCATCTCCCCCAGGGACACACTTAATGAATCAGCGCATTGGCCACCTGCGACCTGAGCCCTACCGGGGACTCTTCCCCAGGCTCTCTAAACTCCACCAGAGCTCAGCCGGTCAAGGAGGCTGGAGACAATTCCCCTTCTTTTCTTCATTGTCTGTACTATCTGGTTCCCATGAGCCTAAGGGACACATGGCATGGGGGAATGGAGGTGGAGGGTCCAAGTATGACTGGGTAAAAAAAATCAAAGGGTCAAGCAAATGATGCCAAGGAGGTGAGTAAACATGGACCCGCCAACACCGCCAAGACCTTTCTGAAGCGCGTGATTTATTAGTGGGCGTACGGACTGACGCTGGGAGGATGCTATGTTTGGGAAAGGATTCTGGAAAGGTCTAGGAACAGAAAGGTCGTTTTCAAGGGTTCTTCAACTCTAAGCCCCTTCTCACGATCAGAAGAGCTAGGCCAAAGTTTTGGTCCAGAGGAAAAAGCTGTGTCTCCAGGAGGCTCCAACGTAATCACCTCACAGTCACCTCCATGGCATGACTTCCCTTCTTCTTGAAAGTCAGCTTGCTGTTCCCAGCCCCCTCAGGACCCTGGATAACCTTGACAGCCACACTGCTGTCCTTGAACCTCACTGAGAACCTGGAGGGAGAAGAGACAGAGAAAATGAAGCTGGGGCCTCTGCCTCTCAGCCCGACTCTTCTAGATGGCCTCCTCTCCCTGGAGCAAACACACAGCTCACCCCCACCCACCCGATGACTCAAGACCTGAGAGAAACTTGGTGCAGAGAGTCCAGGGCTGAGGGGAGGGAGGTGTGGATAACACTAAGAAAAACCTCCGAGCCTTGCCCTGAAACAGTCTGTTTTGGTTTCTGATTACACAAATTTCCCGGTCACAATGACCAGTAGTCCGGTCATCTGTCCCAAGCTGTCCCTCATCCCCAGCTCATGGCCTTACTTCTCAGTCACGGTGACAGAGAGTTGCCTCTGCGTGGCATCCAGCACAGCTTGGTACATTTTTGCCAGCAGTTCAACCACATGGTCACTGACCAAGAGGATGTCCCCCTTGGAGTCTGCCGATGACATCTGAGCAAGAGAGAAAAAAGTAGTAGAGATTAATGTCTTTCCTCAGGAGCAGCCTGAGGGGCATCAAAGACCCATAGTGAGAGGTTCAGTTCTAGTATATCCAGTTCCCCTCGGCCCCAGGAGGCCCACTCTGGAGACACTGCCAACGTAGCTCAGATACCTCACTCAGGTGCAAACTGAAGAGCCCATCCCGGAAGCTGGTGACTGACACCCCAGTCACATTCTCCAGCCCAATGACAATTTGGGCCTGGGACTTCTTGGCATCTGTGAGAATCACATGCCCCTTGGTGAGGAGGAGAATCCGGGCAGATGTCTAGAGAGGATGTAGGAAATAGTGAGGACGGGCATTGTCACCCGCCCCACCCACTGGGCAAAGCATGCGCAGCCGGCCCCAGGCCATTTCCCACCGTAGGTGCAGTGGCCCTTTACCTTGCCATTGCCACGGTTGACCTTCTTCACAGTGTCCGCCATCAGAACAGGCCCTTCCTCCTTACCCTTCAGTTTCTGCAGCTTGGGGTTCCCCTGCAGCCCAACGTAATCACCACGGTATGGAATCGGGACACTGAGTACATAAGAGAGGCATGCAGTGAGACCAAGTCCCAGGTCACCTCCCTGAGTGCCATGCCCCCTCTTCTACCATATCTTGTTTCAGTGATCCATTGATATGTCCGGGACCAACACCTGCTGGGTCAGAGCCTTTAAGGAGGGCCTGGCTAGGTGTCTCCAGTCCTCCCGGGAAACTCAAGCTTGAGAGGCCGCATCTGTAGGCTCTCACCTCTGAGGGTAGGAAGCCTTCTTGCTCTTGAACAGTTCGCTGGCACAGAGCTTTTCCCTCAGCATCTGCACCTGCTTCGGTGACAGCTGATCTCGGAACTTCTTGCACTGTGAGGAGGAGAAAGCTCAGATCATGGAAGTGGAAGGCGGGGTAAAGGAGGGAAGTGAGCAAAGGGGGCAAGAGAACCCATGGGGAGCAGAGGGCTAGAAGGGACATGACAGAGACCATGGGGAGAAGAGGGCTGTTGGGGAGATGACAGAGACCAAGAGGAGAAGAGGGCTGGGAGGGGACATGACAGAGACCACGGGGAGAAGAGGGCTGTTGGGGAGATGACAGAGACCAAGAGGAGAAGAGGGCTGGGAGGGGACATGACAGAGACCACGGGGAGAAGAGGGCTGTTGGGGAGATGACAGAGACCAAGAGGAGAAGAGGGCTGGGAGGGGACATGACAGAGACCACAGGGAGAAGAGGGCTGGGAGGGGACATGACAGAGACCACGGGGAGAAGAGGGCTGAAGGGGACATGACAGAGACCACGGGGAGAAGAGGGCTGTTGGGGAGATGACAGAGACCACAGGGAGAAGAGGGCTGAAGGGGACATGATAGAGACCAGACACAGGAAAAGAACCTGGAGGACTAGTGAGGACGCAGGAAATTGAGGGGTGTTTATAAGAAAATGGACACTAGCAAATGCAAGACCCATGAAAGCACAGCCAGCACTCAGGACCAGGCTGAGCCCACACAGGCGTCCTAAGGACCAGGCTGAGCCCACACGGGTGTCCTAAGGACCAGGCTGCGCCTCCACAGGCGTCCTAAGGACCAGGCTGCGCCTCCACAGGCGTCCTAAGGACCAGGCTGAGCCCACACGGGCGTCCTAAGGACCAGGCTGCGCCTCCACAGGCGTCCTAAGGACCAGGCTGCGCCCACACGGGTGTCCTAAGGACCAGGCTGCGCCTCCACAGGCGTCCTAAGGACCAGGCTGAGCCCACACGGGTGTCCTAAGGACCAGGCTGCGCCTCCACAGGCGTCCTAAGGACCAGGCTGAGCCCACACGGGCGTCCTAAGGACCAGGCTGCGCCTCCACAGGCGTCCTAAGGACCAGGCTGCGCCCACACGGGTGTCCTAAGGACCAGGCTGCGCCTCCACAGGCGTCCTAAGGACCAGGCTGAGCCCACACGGGTGTCCTAAGGACCAGGCTGCGCCTCCACGGGTGTCCTAAGGACCAGGCTGAGCACACGGGGGCACCCTAAGGACCAGGCTGAGCCCACGGGGGCATCTTAAGGACCAGGCTGAGCCCACAGGAGCATCCTAAGGACCGGGCTGAGCCCACAGGAGCATCCTAAGGACCAGGCTGAGCCCATGTGGGCACCCTAAGGACCAGGCTGAGCCCACGGGGGCATCTTAAGGACCAGGCTGAGCCCACAGGAGCATCCTAAGGACCGGGCTGAGCCCGCACGGGCGCCCTAAGGACCGGGCTGATCCCACGTGGGCGCCCTAAGGACCGGGCTGAGCCCACGTGGGCGCCCTAAGGACCGGGCTGAGCCCGCACGGGCGCCCTAAGGACCGGGCTGAGCCCGCACGGGCGCCCTAAGGACCGGGCTGAGCCCGCACGGGTGCCCTAAGGACCGGGCTGAGCCCGCACGGGCGTCCTATGGTATGTTCTGGATAAAAGAACAGATCATACTATGATGTGAAGGAAGTGGGACACACAAAGGACAGATATTGTGTGGTTGCCACTAAGAGGAGTTTCCTCCAAAAGCAAAAGCCAGTGAAACAGAAAGTAAAGTATTGGTTACAGGGAAGGAGGTCAGGGCTAAAGGGCAAAGAACAAAAGTATAAAGATAGGTGGCAATGGCCCTGCAACAGCCTGAACATACTTGTTGCCGAAACTCTGACGCTTAGAAACGGGAACATAACAGACACAACTTTGCATATTTTACCACAGTGAGAGTAAAGGGGCGAGGAGGAAAATAAGGGGTGGGTCACAATAGAGAAGGGACGCCTGACCTCACCTTCCACTGGTGGAAGATGCGCTTCAGCTCCTGATTGGCCCTGTTGAAGTACCTATAAGGGGCAGGGGGCCATGTGTCGTCCAAGACTTTGGTGGATGGCAAATTCTTCTTCAGAGCCAAGAGAAATTTCAGTGCCTGCGTTGAAAGCAGAGTCTTAGGAATGAAGTTAGGAGAAGAGCCACTTTCAGGCAGGTGGATTCACACCCAGGTCCTGCCATTCAAGAGGAAAGCTATGCCCTTGTGAGGAGCAGGAGCAAAGCTGGGGAGGTGGACAGAATTGCCTCTCTGTCAGTGGGTGCGCACTGTGCTCTGGGGCTGGGGTTAAGAACAGAAATGGGAAGCAGCAGGACCTGACACCTGGGTCAGGGAGGTGGGGCGATCCAGCATCAAAGCTGGCCTCTGTATACTGTTCCCTGGCTTTGTCATCTCTCAGGTCACAATGACCTACAGCTGGGGCCATTGTCTGTGCTGGTTATTGGATAGACTCCAAATCTACCCTCCTTTCTAATCAATGGTGCCTGACACCTCAGCCTGACGTTCACAGTCCCTGTCACAGAACCCCCTGGCCTCCCAGTATTCCAACCAGAAAGGCTCCTTGCCACAGCCCTTCCACCTTTGTGCTCTTGAGGCTGATGGCACTCGGCCTACTTCTCGCTGATCTGACAGCTGGACTCTGCCCACCGGGATTCCGTGCAGTGTGTGAGTTGCAGCTTGAAGCCCTCCCAGATGCTCCAGGGTCTCCACACCACCCTCCTAGCCAGGGCAGAGGCGCCCAGTGCTTGCCTTTTCTAGATCTCCAGAGCCTAACCTGCCTAGAGCCATGGGCTGCCAAAACTTCTGTTAGGTGGACAATCTTAGGCAGTAGCTGGAAGCTCAGCAATCAAATGCTTCAGCTACATGGCCTGGAGCTGGGGGCAAATTACTCAGTCTTCCTAAGCCGTAGCTTGCTTTTTTTTTTGTTTTGTTTTGTTTTTTTTTTGTTTTGTTTTGTTTTGTTTTGTTTTGAGATAGGATCTCACTGTATCACTATGTAGCTCTGCCTGGCCTGGCACTTGTTATGTAGACCTAGCAGATCGCCAACTCACAGAGATTTGCCTGCTTCCACCTCCCAAGTGCTGGAATTAAAGATGTATACCACCACATCTGGCCTGAGTTTTAGTTTTTTAACCTGTGAGGTTGGGGAAAGCAGAGGGCCTACATGACAGGGCTGTTAGAATAATTGGAAAGAGTATACGTAGCATATAGTCAGGTAATGGCGCTAGATTAAAGACCGCGGCAAAGTGCCAGGAGCGTTGGGAGAATCAGTGACCCAGGACTCTTGGGTGTGATTTATTGAACCACACAGTCCTGGCTTGATGTTCAGCAGCTGCCTGACAAGGTACAGGTAAAAGGCTGAAAGAAGGGACTGTTGGGGGTAAGTGCAAAGTCAGGTCGCAGCCCTCAGGTGTCCAGCGAGACAGCACGTACTGTGGGAGGGACAGGACATGGCAGAGCCAGCCCAACAGGCCAGGCTAGCACGGGGCTAGGGAGAAGGAGGGGGAAAGAAAGCCAGAGGATGCCAGGACGACCTCAGCTCAGAACTCCCACCCCTCCCAGTCAAGAAGTCCAGGCTTTAGCAGGACAGAGAGCATACTTGGTGAGGGTCCTAAACACTAGCAAATAGCAGTCGCCTCAGGTCAGTCCCACCTTCCTGCAACCCTTAGGCTGAGGCCCCTATGCTCCCATCTTGTCTGGCTTTTTCCCAAGGCTTCACTGGGATACTGTTTTCTCTGTGGCTTTCCAATATCCTCTGGGAAATGTCCCCTCTACCTAACAGTCCTGTTGGAAACCATCCCTAGCTGGAGGCCTCCTTCCGTCAGACCCAGAGATGGCCCTCCTCATTTGCCTGGGGGTTCAGAGGGGATGTGATTCCTTCCACCTCAAAATGGATCTTAGCAGTCAGGCTAGTTAATCCTGTGTCCTCATCATCCACTTCCATAAGAAAGCTACCACCCCCCATCTCCCTACCCCCCACCCCCCAGTCGGCCTCTCCCCAGGTCTATGTGTCCTCTGCTCAGATGAGAGTACCAGGACCCCACACTGGCACAGGATGCAAACAGCATCTACCTGAGCCAAGGGATACCTGCTGCGGCTCCGGTTAGGGACACCCAGTCCCAGTGTGTGACTGCTCCTAGGGAAGGCTTGGAATCAAGCCCCTCCCCATCCTCTCCCAAGACTGTCCCAACTCCTCTGCCCGCCTCGCACCTTCGCCCCAGCACTTACCATGCTCTTATAGATAAAGTTGGACAAGGTGCGGGCAGCGCCTGACCGGAAGTATTTTCGATAATTCTTGCGGGCCTAGAAGGGAAGTGCGAGGAAGATGTCAGCATGAGGCAGAGTCTAGGAGAGGTTCTGCTATTTGCTTTCAACCAAAGTGCAGTCAGAAATATCTAAATAAACAACGCCAGGCTGAGACTGAAACAGGAAAAATGATTCGAAGGTGGAAACACACCCAGGCCAGTCTCCCGGACACACACCCACAGCCTGCTGGGCCAGAGCAGGAGGGCGGTCTCAGTGTCACAGCCTGGTGCATAACCCAACAGGCCCCCTCTGCCCTTGGTTACCTTCCACCCTCTCACGAAAGCCTGGATCAACAGTGTTGAGGCCTTTATCTTCCCGTAATGCTTCCTTTGCTGTGGAAACAAACATGAGCACTGTTAGAAGAGGCCACACCCTAAACCACAGGTCCCCGCGACACATGGGAAGGGACGTGGCACCTTGTTGCCCCGGAACCAAGCGGAGATGAGGATCTGACTTTTGCGCATCTGCTGGTAGTGCGTCCGGCAGCGCCAGCCCCGGTATACCTTCTGGATGAGCGTGGCCAGCTGCTGGATCTTCAGACGCCTTTGTTCCTCCAAGTAGAAAAGCTGGGGTGGGGGCAAAGAAGGGTTTGCTCTCCCTTGCACGACAGGGAACTGAAGCTCCCCAGCCTGCCTCCTACAACCAGGCCAGGCCCCGGGATGAACTCCTAGCTCAGGGCAGGAGAGGTCAACCCTCAATTCCCAGGGTGGCACCCTCCTTCTGCACCATCTGGTCCTGCACTGGTCGCTGCCTTCCCCGCTAGCCTCTTTCTAGCTCCATTCTACCCCCACCAAGTGCAGCCCCCCAGCTTCCTGGCTCACAGTCTTGGGACTTCTGATAAAGATCTTTGTCTTCCCATAGGCCAGCTCCTCTGAGGACACAGCCACAGACTCCAGGACCTTCTCCACACCTTCCCTACAGGGGCAGATGGGGGAGAGCTGCAGGTGAGGTATGCCAGGCAGAATCCCCTTCCACATCTCCCCAGCCCTCTGAGGCCCAGCCCCTCCATCCCCACTGGGTCTTACCGGTCTCCCCCGTTCCAGTGAGGCCAGGTGCTCCTGCTCAGCAGTCGGTACCTTTCGAAGAAAGGCCTGTAGAGTTGGCGGTGGGCATAGCCAGCCCTACGCACCCGAACATTCTCCAGCAGCCCCAGGTATCGAGCCTGGACCACAACCAGCTCTGGGGAAAACCTGCCGTACTGTTGCAGGTCGTTGGGCTTTATGCACCTGGAAGGAAGTCGGGAAGAAGCAGGCTCAGGAGCAAACTCCACGCAGGTGGCACTGCCCTGGTGTTCCTGTGCCTACTCCCCAAACCCTGAGATGGGAGTTTCAGTAGAAGTGTAAGGGAGACGCTCTTGGCCTCCCCAGTTTCACTCTCCCCTGATACCACTCTGTCGGCCATAGAGTGCCCAGCTAGCTCCTCATCTGGTCCTGTGTTCCATGGGGAAAGAGCCTGTTCCAGAGACTGACTCCCCGATACAGGCATGTCCTACCAGGCACAGATCCGACACCACCTTGAGGATGCTCCCCTGTGCGCCCAGCTATTCACCTGATATAGTTGGGGTTCTTAGAGTACAGGTTCTTCATGAGTACGGCCACCGAATTCTTAAACTGTGACCCAGCAGTCGGGGGACGTTTGAGAGACGCTTCCTTGGGATTACCCTCTGGGAACAAGGACCGAAGGAGAGGATGCCGGGCCTTCCACATGGTCTGGGATAGGTCTCGGAAGAGCAGGTCGTTATTCTTGTCGATGAAGCCATTCACGTTGTAAGTCACCTACAGAGGAGCAGATGTAGGTTCAGACCCCATGCCTCCTTCCAGCACCTGGACCTCCCTGTCTCAGTTTCCACTTCCACACCCGCTTCTGCCCTTGGCTCCCACGCAGCCTCACTACAGTACCTTGCCCGCATAGTGGGAGATGCGAAAGCAGCTGAGCCCCATGGAATGGTCGTACTGGCGCTGGGCATTCTGGGTGACTTTGCTCTCATAGTGACTGTGCTTCGAGAAGAGCTGGTTCAGCTTTGCCAGGAAAGTGGAGTCGCTGACCACCCCAGGCCTCAGGCACTCCTCATCCAGCATGGCCAGGATGCCTCGCTGACTCTGGGTCATGGCAACAAGATCCAGGTGAGCTTAACCCGCTCCTCCCAACCCTCTCATCCTGGCCAGGCTCGGGGAAGGGAGGATGCTCAGGAAGTCTGGAAAGGGGGGTCCCAAAGCTGAGAGGACAGCTGCTCACATGCTCAATGAGGTTACAGATGATGCCGTTGTCAAAGTAGTCCACCTTGGTCCACGGTATGCCCTGGCAAAGGGAGACATCAGTCACAGAAGCAAGTCCCAGAGAACCTCTAAAGTCCTCGCCAGACCCAGGCTCCCTTTGACCCACTGTAAAAAGGACTTCAGAAAGGCCTGTCATTCAGGGACAACCTCGGTTGGGTTCAGTTTACAACCCACCCCTCCCAGGTTGGTGGTGAATTCGTGTGTGTGTCTTGGGGAGTGGGCAGACACACAGGAGAAACCAGAGCACCTGTAGGAGAAGGTGAGACAAAGCCAAATACCCGGAGATGGTGTGGGCTGGGAGGGAGCATGACTGTCAGGTGTAGGGTGGGACAGAGCTCCCCCCAGTGTGGGGTAGAGAAGGGGCCATGTACATGAGGAAAAGAGGCTACCGCGCTCTGACATGATCAACGTGTCTCCACAGAGTGAACCAGGACTGTTATCCAGCAACAAAGCCAATCTGATGCATCTTTAAAGATCCACACCTGTGATTTTAGTTCCACAGCTCTCACCACACACTTGCTAAAACACAGACTGCTCCTTCTGCTACACTGTTTCCAACTTGGCGTGTTTGGGATGCGCCCAGGAACTGACATTTCCAACCTGTCCCCAGTGGTGGTGGTGCTTCCGGTCCAGGACAACACTTCAGGGCTGAGATGTCTCAGCGGATAAGTGTGCCTGCTGCCAAGCCTGCCGACCTGAGTTCAATGCCCAGGTCCCACATGCTTGGTGGAGTGCATCAACTTCTCCAGGATGTCCTCTGACCTCCACTAGAACCTTATAATTTTTTAAAGTGAGGATCGCTCTCGGCTTTGCGCTCTCAGCGAACATCAGGATGACAGGAGGTTATGTCATAATCCCCCCCAAGGACCAGACAACCCAAAAGTAGGCTATGGCGCACAAGCCTTCCAGACAACCCAAAAGTAGGCTATGGCGCACAAGCCTTCCCTTCTTTCCTCACAGTTTCTTAGAGAAAAGAGACTGAACCTAATGAGGTTGACTTCCTACTGCTTCCCAAAGTACCTTTCCCAATGGGCTAAATGCAATATGGCATCCTGCAATACCACACAGCCAAGCAAAGATGTACAGAACAGAGCATATTTGCTAGCTTTTGTGTATGTTTTATATATTTTTAAAAAGTCCATTTACATATTTGCATGTAAGTAGGAAAAAGACCTTCTGGTCTTTGTGGGGAAGAAAATTGAGAGTTTAGGGGCAGAGGCTGAAAGGAGATTTTTATTCATCTACCTTTTAAAGTTTTTGAATTTTGAAATATAGAAATGTATCATCTTTAAGCACTGAAGTTGTTAAAACAAAAAAAAATGTGTGAAACAATACATTTTGTCACCATGTTGCCAGCAGCCCTGTTGCAGAGACCAGCTCTCCAGCTCTCGCAGGGAACGGGAACGCCTCTGGAAGGGTTTAACATCTCTGGGCTGCTCACCCTTGGAAGTGGATTGGCTTGCTCAGAGAGATTTTTTAACACCTAGTCATGGTTGCAGGGGTTATGCGAGTCAGAGGAGGGGTGTGGAAATCTGGCTCCGCAGGGCACTTCTGGTGAATAAGTCCAGAATCATGCATCTCTAACAGCGGACAGCAACATCACCCAGCGCCCCAGGGAAGGCAAAGGTTCTGACATGTTTGAGAGGGAGCAGGAAGGGATATGAAGGGTGCCAGGCCCTCCAACCAGGACTCTCCACACAAACACCCTTTCTGAACTGGCCTGGAGCAGAAAGCTGGGGACAGGAAGAAGGGAAGCGGACTGTTGGGGCAAGTTAGAAACGCTGAACGCTCAGCTGTGAGAGGGAAACATTGTGTCCTTTGTGTTTCCATCTGGGGACAATTAGAAGGAAATTGTGACGAGAAGAAAGGCTCGCATCTGGAAGTCCCTCAGCAGAGCAAGCAGGAGGCTGGGCTCACCTCTCTCTTGTACTCCTCTTGTTCCTCCTTCAAGGTCAGCTCTATGAACACCTGCTGCAGCTTCTCGTTGCAGTAGTTGATCACGAACTGCTCAAAACTGTTATCCTGTGAGGGAAAGGAGGACGGCTCACCTCAGACCCTTCCTCCCTCACAGCCCCTCCCGCCCACCCTGAGCGGGTCCCCCTAAGCGGGGAAGCAGGCCGCTGAGGTCAGATGGTGCTCTCTCACCTCCAGAATCTCAAATCCGTAGATATCCAGAACCCCCATAACCTTCCTCTTCTCCTCAGTGCCCACCTGGAGGAGAGGGAGGACAAATAAGAGGAAGCCCCCTGAGCACAGCAGGTGGACAGGATCAGAGCAGGGGCAAAGAGAGCTGCAGCTTGACCGGGCTGGAGAGGGAGGACGGAAGGGAAGGTGCTAAACGGTTCCCATGACATTAGATGCTCTTAGGATAGTGGGCCTCTCAGCCTTCCTAAAACAAAGGCCCTGTAATACAGTTCCTTGTGTCGTGGTGACCCCCAACATTATTTTCATTGCTATTTCATAACTGTAATTTTACTACTGTTATGAATCATAATGTAAACACCTGGTTTTCTTTTTTTAAAGATTTATTTCTTTATTTATTATGAATACAATACACTGCCTGCATGTGTATGTGCACCCCTGAAGAGGGCACCAGATCTCATTACAGATGGTTGTGAGCTACCATGTGGTTGCTGGGAATTGAACTCAGGACCTCTGGAAAAAGAGTCAGTGCTCTTAACCACTGAGCCATCTCTCCAGCTCCCACACCTGTGTTTTCTAATGGTCTTAGGCAACCCCTGTGAAAAGGTCATTCAACCCCCGAAGGGGGATACGTCCCACAGGTTGAGAAACACTGCACTGTAGAGGTGGTAAAGAAATGCAGGGTGTATACACAGTATGGCTTTTTTTTTTAAATATTTATTTATTTATTATGTATACAATATTCTGTATTCCTGCTGGCCAGAAGAGGGCACCAGACCCCCATTACAGATGGTTGTGAGCCACCATGTGGTTGCTGGGATTTGAACTCAGGACCTTTGGTAGAGCAGGCAATGCTCTTAACCTCTGAGCCATCTCTCCAGCCCCCACAGTATGGCTTTTATTCAGCCATGAATTGGATTACATTATCTGTATTGATGTGACTGGAATTTCCGAATCACACAGCAACCATGTATATTCTGATCTGCAGAAAACCCTTGGGAAGCGGGCAGACATTCATAGT